CTTATTTTGTTGTTATTATTTTTTGAGAGAAGTTATAAATAGATGGTATAGCATATTGAACTCTGGACACATTCCCAACTCTTGGGAGTCTACAGTGGAAAGAGGCAATCCCAGATGTGAGTCTTAAGGAAGACACAGGGAAGTATAAATAGGTAGGTAGATTTAGTATAGACTTAAAAAAATAATTTTTTTACACATCAAAATAGCTTTAACACATTTCCTAATTTTTTTTTTCAGCCCAGTATAACCATTAAGGCCAGGCAAGACTTAAAAAACCTTCTCAGTCCCTTGTCTCTGTTTACTTTACCACAATTCCAAAGGAAGTCACAGAGCTCATTACCCAGGAACCCAAGGCCAAAACCCAAATCTGGATTGAAATCAAATTCTGCACGAACTCTTCATCAACCTTGCCAAGACTATGAGGCCATCCCTTCTCTAGAGTTCATAGAGTTCCTTAGCCCAGTGCATTGCGCTGTAAAGTCAAAAGACACACAATGCTGTGTAGACACCCTTAGAAGGGGCAGCCTACCAACCTTGTGACAATGGGAACTAGCCTTAACTCGTGATCTCCTGCTCCACAGCTGAACTTTGTCCTGTGACCTAGGGAAACATTTTCTCAGCCTTTCTTACCTTATCTATGAGATACAGATAAAATTGCCTGCCTCCTGCATTTGTAAAGTACATATAGGAAGCCAGCTCTGGAACTCAGCCCCTAAGCTTCTGTTAAAAGAAAGATCTTGTAAGATTTTCTTTTCTTTTCTCCTTTCCTTCCTTCCTTCGTTCCTTCCTTCCTTCGTTACTTCGTTCCTTCCTTCCTTTCTTTTCTTTTCTTTCTTTCTTTTTTTTTTTTTTTTGAAGATGCATTTCTTTTTATTTTTATGGGTATATCTCTATACTACATGCAGTACCTAGGGAGAACTCTTTATGTAGACCAGGCTAGCCTCAAACTCACAGAGACCCACCTATCTCTTTGTCCTGAGTACTAGGTTTAAAGGTGTATGCCACTAAACCCAGGCCCAAGGTTTTCCTGATAATCTTTTTGAAAAAGTAAAACTCAACTTTGAGGTAAAATTTATATGCTACATGGACTTCAAATTTAAAATTAAGGAAAGAGTCAAATGTTAATATTAATTAAAGAAGGCTATGGTCTTATGTATTGTTTTTGCAGTGCTGAGAACTGAACCCAAGGGTTCATTAATGCTAAGTAAGTGCTGGACCACAGAGCTGCATCCCCAGCACATCTGTTTAATACATTTGAATCCTGTGTAGCTGGCATGTCTTCTCTTTAAATATCTGCAGCAAGAGATGGGCATCTACTCTTGAGAGCACACTACTAATCAGGGAGAGGTAAAGGGGCCTTCCTGCAGGGGAATGATTTGAAGCCCAGTGAGAACATGAATTTCTTTGTGAATTCAGTCATTCACAAAGAAGTAATGAAGTATTAAAAGGGAACTTTTCCTCAGCTCCAAGCATCCGTTAACACAAGAAGTCCTTGCCATCATGAAGCTCTCACTGCTAGTGTCAGTGCAGGCTTTAGTTTGGTGGTGTTCTGTGTTGCTCTGCATATCAGTTAGCTAGTAACGAGCCTGAACTAGCAGCAGAGCGTTTCCAATTAAGTCAGTCGCTGAGTGGTTAACTTGGGAACTGCTGACAAGACACAGAGGAACTCCTACAGAGAAGGGACTGCAGAGTCAGAAAAGGACTCTTTCAGAGTCCTGACTGTGAGTGCCAGGGTCCCAAACTCATTCCCTATATGTAAGGAAGCTGCTTTCATTCTTCTACACAAATTAACACTAGCATTGTTCTGTTAGCTGTGGAAAAACCTATAATAGGGAGAGAATGAAGTATGCTCTCATTTGTGAGTGCCTTTTACTATGATGTGAAAAGGCTGCAGATTCCAAATAAAGACATTTTTTTACAATGCTGCTGTGGGAAGACGGGAAGTTCAGATCATGGCCACCTTTGCTCTTGAGGAAGGTCTATCACTGACATCTCCCGCTCCTTCTGGGTTTCCTATGAGCCCTTTTAGTGGCTGCACACCAGTAGTTCCTAGGTTTCACACAGCGTGAATGTTGTGGTACAGTACTGACCACTCTCATAATATAACAATGACAGTACTGGACACAGTACGGGGCAGGCAGAGTCTGATGTGCTCAGTGCGACCGGAACAAGAAGAGAGGTTGATTTCCTGGGGACATTTTGGAGCTAGAAGAGACAGGGTTTAAATACAGCAGTGGGGGCCAGGGCAGCACTCAAAATGGTTGGTTGTTCTTGGACTCGTGATTTATTTGAAAGAAAGTAAGTATAATCTAACCAAATGAAGGTTTGTTGTCTTCATTTGTACCTATAGCTATCAAATGCTAAATGTCCTTCAGTACTTTTCAAACAAGCCCCAGGCTCAGGGAGAAACCCTGTCTCAGAAAATAAGGTGGCCAGTTATAAGTAATATTCCTCATGTTGATCTCTGGCCTCCATACACATGCACACATGAGTGCACACACATATGCAAACACACAGCCATGTACATATCACACACACACACACACACACACACACACACACACACACACCTTAGATGAAATAAAGGAAGTACTCTGAAAACAAAGGAGAAAACTTGAAAAGCTCCAAAATGCACAGTCCAAGGACCATTAACTCTGCCAGAAGCTGCCAGTTACTCAACCTTGGAAAAGAGGTAGTGTCTATTTCTGTATTGCAAGGAAGGGCTTCCTAGCAGGGTTCCAGAAATTGCTCTGCTTCCAGATGCAAGACCAGGATGTTCCAATTATAATGGTAATGTCCAAAAAAGAAAGAAAAAGAAAGAAAGGAAGGAAGAAACCCAGATTACTCTAGTCAAAACAAACAAACAAACAAAAAAACTGATTTAGAAATTCAAAGGCGCTAAGTTTTACCCTATTTTATTGTAAACTAGTAGGTGTTACTCTTTTCCAGCCCGTTTTCCCTTCTGAAATAACAACTGTTTGGCTGGACCATTGACAACAATAATCTGTAAAGGAAGAAAGAAAACAAGGGAAACAGCATATCCCACTTTGTAATTCCCACAAGTGAAAATTAGTGTCTAATGAGATGTCCCCACACACTGCTGCTACCGCTTGTGAAAACTCATGCCCCAGATCAAAGTGGATTTAATCATCACAGGGAGAGGGTGAAATGGGGACATCAAGTGGAAAAATCCAGAGCATGGAGAAACAGCATATCTCAGGAGATAAGATACAGAGCTAATTTTATGCACCTGCTTTCTTCTAGGAGAAAAAGAAAAAATCATTTGTGAATGATGGCAAAGGTACATTTCAAGCAGGTTTTGATGAGCTAATACACAGAACAGCACCAGCCAGCCCATCCATATATGGTCAGTGTTTTTTGAGAAAGGGTTCAGGCCTTTGCAGAGACCACTCCCTACAAAGAGATGCTCGCTCCACACAGAGAGAGCCAGGGCACTGCGCATTAAGCCTCATACCGTAATTTGATCAGATTTTCTTTTTTATTTTATTAGAGACATTACCAGAGACCTACCTTCACAAAGAGCTGTCTATTCTTCCACCACTAACATAGCTTAATAAATATCTGATAGGAAATAATCATGTTCTCACTGAAAATAATCCCTTCTGTGGCTGACTTTGATTTGTAATTGTGTGTGTGCATGCATTGTTTGTGTGTGTGCTTAGCCAGGCACACAAAGAGATGAAATATGAACTCGCCTGCACTTTTCCCCAGCTCTCTAGCCCTTGGTGCTCTGGGGACAATAGTGAATGGCATGCTTGAAAGTGACATGTGTCATCTTACAGTGCTGAGTTCTGATGTCACTAGATATTATAACCCTGTAATTTAGCTATTCTGTTTCTGCTTCTTTGTGTTAGGTATTGCCATATGTTATTTCATCTAACCCTTATAAAAGAGCCTGTTGGTAGCTAAGGAAGTTCATGTATCATAGTTAGTGTTTGACAAGACATATGTTAGTTCCCTGAGCTCCTGTCTCCATATGCATCAAAACCAAGGAAGACACCTTTCTTTCTTTTGTTAATTGGAAAATTAAAAATTTTAAATTCTAATTTAAAATTTTTAAATTGAAAATAGATTTTTAAATTTAAACATAGATTCTTCTCTCATATAATTCATTCCAGCCACCATATCCTCTCCTCTACTACTCATGGCTCCCCCTCCCACATCTTAGTTAGGGTTTCTATTGCTGTGAAGAGACATCATGACCATGGCGACTCTTACAAAAGAAAACATTTATTGGTGTGGCTCACTTACAGTTCAGAGGTTCAGTCCATTATCACCATGGTGGGACTGTGGGACATGGTGGCATGCAGGCAGATATGGTGCTGGAGGGGTAGCTACTACATGTTGATATGCAGGCAACAGGAAGTAGACTGAGACATTGGCTGGTGTTTTGAACATAGGAGACTTTATATCCTCCAACAGGGCCACACCTACTTCAACAAGGCCATACCTACTAATACTGCCACTCCCTATGAGATTATGGGGTGCGATTACCTTCAAACTACCACCTACCCCAAACCTCCCCTTTCCCCCAGATCTACTCTCCATTTATTTCCCTTCAGAAAAGAACAGGCCTCCAAGACACTGTCTTCAAATAACTTCTCCTCCTCCTCTTCCTTCTGCTGCTTCTTCCTCCGTCTCTACCTCCTCCTCCTTTTAAGTGAAAACAGAACGGAAGACTAAACTCAGTGGTAGATTGCTTGCCTCGCATGTATACTCCCTGGCTTCTCAGTCACCGAGTTCTGCTCAAAGAGGGGTGGAGAAAGACCCAGGCTGGGCGCCACATGCCTGTGAGCCCAGCACTTGGAAGTCTGCGGCAGGATGATAAGCTGGAAGCCAGTCTGTGTGCTGTGTAGCAAGAGTTGGGGGGTGGGGCCCGTAGTGTTTTATGTATCAGATAATTCCATGATAGAGCCCCACAGCATAAAATTAGGATTGCAGATAGCACTTCTTCAGGGTTTCCCTTTTTCCATTTGTAGACTGAAAAAGAAGAAACAAACCAAACAGAATGCAGAGATCGTCTCAGCATCAGCCACGAGGAGTCATTCCGGGAAGGAGGATCCTAATTCAGTCATTTTGGACCAGGACAAGTCAAACGTTGCAGTGGAGGGGGAATGTAGCACGGATGAGAAAAAGAAGAGAAAAAACAACCAGCTAAAGGAAATCAGGCGCACCGAACTAAAGAGATACTACAGTATTGGTGAGTATTTGTGACACTGCTGGTATACATTGTTTACAAATCTGTCACAGGCTGAACATGGCTAGAGGAATGGGAATTTAATGCTAGCCTGGGTTACATGAGACCCTGTCTCAAAATAATAATAGCTCAGTTCAGCCTGGGTAAATAAGCCCAACCCTATATCAAAATAAGAAAATAAAAATAAAACAATTTAAAAAAAAAGCCTTCTACCCTCAAAAATCTGAATCTGTAATAATTTTCCATAAACTATGAGTCATTATCATATTAACAGTACCAGATTATAGATCAGCTACTCCGAGTCCCTGGCTCTTGCTCTATTTATTATATAATATAAAAGGATAGCTGTGAATAATGTGCTCCACTCAGCTTTACACTTTGGTTGCCTAGCAGTGTGTCTGTCACATACTGTATGCTGATAAACATTTTCCCAGTAGGAGAAATATGCTTATTTTCTTTTTTGTTGTTGTTGTTTTGAGTGTGTGTGTGTGTGTGTGTGTGTGTGTGTGTGTAAGTAAATGTGCTTGTTTGTACATGCATGTAGGGGTCAGAGGTTGACTTCTGAACCTTTCTATATTGCTCTTTATTGTGGTTTAATAAGGATCAGGAAAAATAAATAGGATGAAAAGATGTTTATTCAGAGAGAAATAACTTACAACATAGACAAATGAACACCAGCAGGTTCCTAGTCCCAAGGATGTCTCCTGATGCTCTCCTCCCCCCCCCCCACCCCATGCTGCAAGCAAGAGAGAGCTGGGGGGGGGTTTCTTCAGACCTAGTTCCTCTAGATAGTATCTGCCCCTGTCCCCACCCCAATGGGCGTGGTCAGTGCCATTTGTGCTGACAAAGTAAATATCTCGCTACAGCTCTTAACTTTGTTCTTGAGATAGGGTCTCACTGAGCCTGGAGCTCACTTTCGACCGGTCTGGTTGGACAACTAGCTCCAAGAATTCTTCTCTGCCTCATAGCACTGGGATTATAGGAGACCATCACCACATCCAGCCTTTGACATGAGTGTTGGGAATCAAAGTTCAGATCCCTAAGCTTATGCAACAGACACTTTACCCACTGAGCCATTCCCAGGCCCATCTTGTTTCCTTAATAGTTATAAATAGAACATATATGGAATGTAAATAGAATATAAGTGAAATAAATAGGTTCATAAAAGTACTGTAATGACTACAGTTTTTTGCAGGAGACAAAGTCTAGCGTGTATCAACTTAAAAAAAAAAAAACCACAACCCCCCACGTCATTTAGAATAAATCCACAATGTTATGGAGTTTCTTAGAATAACTATTGCTGAAAATGGGAATGATGGCATATCTAGCCGTACTTAGATCACCTGTCTCATACCCACTGTTCTGTCACATGCATGTCTGGAGTCTATTCAGTGACTGCAAAGGAGGCAGAAATGTGGTATGACATAGGTAACGTTGCTAGGCAAAGACAGAAAAGATAAAGAAGTGTGCAGAGAGCATCCTGCAGTTAAAGCAACGAGATGAGGTCTCGAAGACTTGCTCTGGAGTCCCTGAACTTGGTCCAGATTATGGCACTTACAGAGAGGTGTGTCCTCTTTCTGTGTCTAACTCTTTCTGTGTCTAACTCAACTTCCCAATAGGCCTAATGGTGTGTGTGATGGTTAGCGTCAGCTTACCATGTTCTAGAATCACCGCCAACACAAGCCTCCAGGCACATCTGGCAGACATTATTTAGCCTATAGGGAATCTTTTGATTAGGTTAGTTGAGGTGGGAGGACCCATCTTGAAAGTGGGCAGCACCATTTCCTGAGCACAAATATCCATTGCTCTTTTTTTACTGGCTTGAGGATGCAGCCCCTGCTGCTCTGACTTCCCATCAGAATGGCGTGTGCATTAAACTGTGAGACCCAGTACACCCTTCCTTCCTCAGTTACTTTACCGGGCATGTTGTCACAGCACTGAGAAAGTGAGACCAGGCCTATCAAGGAAGATGGTGTTGAGAGATGCCTCACATCCATTGCTCCAACAGTGACTGATGAAGTAGTCTGCCCTCAGCCATGAACATGGAACTTTTAGTACTACAGAGGGCACAGATGGTTAAACATTGTGACCTACAGCTAAACTGGTGCCATTACTTTCAATCCACCAATGTGCTTGATAGCCCTGTACATGAGTGAGGTTCCTGAGTAATTAATATGCTTACACTTACAATTTAAGGCATCAGTGTACTCCCTTCTGGAAGGACGAGAATTAAGGAAAGTTGCATTCTGTCTTGTTTTGTGTGACTGCCTGCCTAGTTAAAATGACTTTCTTCTTTAGTAGGATCTGTTGAAAGTATATCATTGAGTTTAAAATAACACTCTTTGACTTTATTTCACTAACTTTTCCTGACCCCACAAGATCAGTTCAGCTAGCTTGTCTTCTGGGAATACCTTCCTGGCTCTGTCCAGGCCAGGCCAGATCTCCACCTACATTTTCATGATTTTATCCATTCTCTGTTTGCAGGCTGGGATGACTAAAACCCTGTAATATCTCTTCTATAACAGGTGCTCTGTGTGTGTGTGTGTGTGTGTGTGTGTGTGTGTGTGAGACACTTCTGTGTTCACGTGTAGAAGTCAACCTCAAGTGTCATTCTACTTCGTGTTTTATACAGGGTTTCTCAATGGCCTGTAACTCATCGAGTAGTAGCCTGGCTATCACTGCTTCCCAGTGCTGAGATTACATAGGCCATCCTATCAGACTGTGTGTGTGTGTGTGTGTGTGTGTGTGTGCGTGCGTGCGTGCGTGCGTGCGTGCGTGCGCGTGCATGCGTGCGTGCGTGCGCGCGTGCGTGTGTGTGTGTGTGTGTGTGTGTGTGTGTGTACTGGAGATCAAGCTCAGGTCCTCATATATACAAGGCAAGCACTTCACTAACTCAGTTACTTCCCCGTCCTGAAAGACGAGTGCATAGATGAATGAATGAATACTCTGGTTTTATTTGTTGAGAATTCTCTAGGATATTGGTGACAGTACAGTCACCGAGTTGAAATTGGCATGTGGTTTTTCCTTGGTAGCGATGAGATGTCATTATGTCATCTTATAAGAACGGCAGTGATGGCCACTGGCTTGGAGATTTGGGTCCTTTCATAGGAAAATCCAGTCCAGGGATCAAGCCTCTGAGTGGACCACTAAATTTTAGGCTGCATTGGCTCTTACCGAATTTGACCATCTTTGACAAACTTGGGCTCAGATTTGATTGGCCTCACAGAACCTGTCACCAACTAGAGTCCCGTCCCAGGATGTGGTTCTATACCACTAGGGGGAGTATCAGACCTTGAGTCAAGATTCATTCCTGACCCAGGGCCCTGATTATTTCTGTGGTGCTGCTCTCTGGCTGTGGCAAGAGAGTGAGGAAATTTGAGAAGGAGAGGTTCTTGTCTGTTAAGGATTTAGATCTGTGAAACTCAGACTTGGGGGAGCCCCGTTATTTCATGGATGAATCTGAATTGATGAAGGCAGGTTGTGCTGGTCTGAGACAGGACCTTAGGGAAATGAAGTTCTGAGAAATTTTGCTCAAAGACAGAGCAGTATATGCTAATTAACATAGTATCTGAGGAAGAAAAATCAAAGTCAGTAGGTGACACATTTGGAAACTCAAGAATAAGGAAGGAAGGGGATGGACTTTTTGTTTGGAGGTGTTTTTGAAAGGCTAAGTCCTTTCTCTCAAAGGGCCTAGTTAATTGTTCTTTACCGATGTGAGTCTGTGTAAAAGACGTGATCCAAAGAACCAACAGAGATGCAAAAGAAGAAGCTAATGGTGCGAAGTGCAGCATGGGCTCAGAAATGCAGACAGAAAAGGCGTGGGAGTTGTCTTACCTGGGTACAGAAGTTATAAGGGACTTTGTTTTCTTTATATCTCAAGACAGCACCTTACCGTGTAGCTCTGCCTGCCCTGGAACACACTGTGTAGACCAAGCTGGCCTCAAACTCTCAGATTCAACTGCCTCTGCCACCCTCTGCCACTATGCTCTACAGGAGTTCCCCCCCCCTATGTTTATTGAATAGTAGGCATTGCAGAAGGATATTATGACAAAAATATTCTTTCTGCTTTTTCAGATAGATTTATCTCTGACTCACTGAAGCCTTGGGCAATAAGTCAGGAGTATCTCCTGACAGCTCAATAAGATGCCAACAAGAATGTTTTAGAGAGGTCAAGTCACTAGAATTGCCTCATTGTAACAACAAAGAGTAGGAAAGGAAGTAATTACATTAAGGTAAAGTGCATCAGAGAACTCAAGGCCCAGTATCTAGCATAGCATGTAGAGTCAGTTAATATCAAAATACTTCTAGAGCAAGTGAATTCTGCTTCTCTGTGCTTGCATTTATATTTGCTAATATACAGAACTTAAAAAAAAAAAACTACTTATATTGCTTACGAAGTTGTATAGGGAGCATGGAGAGATGTCTCAGAGGTTAAGAACATTTGCTGCTCTTATAGGGGACCCAAGTTCAGGTCTCAGTATCTTCGTGGCAGCTCACAACTATCTGTCACTGCAGTTCCAGAGGATCCAACGCCCTCTTTTGGCCCCCTCGGTCACTGCATGCATGTGGTGCACAGACATGCATTCAGGCAACACACACACACACACACACACACACACACAAAATAAATATTTTTAAAACAAGAAGTTTTTGGTAGTTTTGTGTCTTGCTATACTTTAAGAATTAGCTATTACTCAGTTTTGAGAAAATTGCTTAAAGGCAGAGTCTCACTTTGTAGTCCGGTTTAACCTTAAACTCACAGAGACCCTCCTGGCATTTCTTGGGCCCCTCTGCCCCCTGTCTCCCTGACCCTCTGCCCCCTGCTCTTCTGTCCTCTGCCTCCCTGCCCTCCTGTCCCCCATATCCCCACCCCTCTGATCTGCTTTTGCCATGCAGGGATTAAAAGTCTGTGCAACCATACTGAGCCAAGTTTTATACAACTCATGGGAGCATTTCAGAATCTCCCAAAAGATGATTAATTCACTGAAGCACCAAACTCTATT